AGGAAATGTGGGTAATGGATTAGCCTGTCCCCCAGACGGTGTTCAGCAAACACCTCTCTGTCTTCTGCCCGGCGGCGCCCCGGGGGCAGGGGGCCCGGCCCGGCCCGCCCTGAGGATGTCTGGCGGAGCCCAGGAGAGCAATCGCTTATTCTACGGCGGTTCTCAACCTGTGGGTCGCGACCCCTTTGACAGGGGTCGCCTAAGACCATCCTGCATGTCAGATATTTACATGACGATCCATAAGAGTAGCAACATGACAGTTAGGAAGTAGCAACGAAAATAATGTTATGGTTGGGTCACCACATGAGGAACTGTATTGAAAGGGCCAGAAGGTTGAGAACCACTAAAAGAATCAGCCATGGGGGCTGCCTCCCCGGGAGCTCGTGGCAGCCTTTGTCAGGCCTCCCCCACCGAATGTTGACAGCTTCCCGGAGCCTGAGCGGGAAGGAAATCACACACCGAGGCCGGGGTTTCTGCCTGTTCCTGAAGGAAGGAGTGCGAGACCCAGTTGAGGTCACTGAGAAAATAAACTACAGTGTTTCCTTCCACACCAGGTCTCTCATGCCTCGGGCTCCAGGGAATTTCCCCTAAAATGCAAAATGGGAGCCAATAAATAAATACATAAATACATAAGGCATGTTTGTTGCACAGAGCGTTGGAGGGAAAGTACTCCAGTAGCCGTAGAAGTTATCTGCCTTTGTTCTAACAGTGAACATGGCTTTGTTTGCCCTGCGTGAGGAATATTGATGTCAGGAACCAGCTCGTGTGCACGGCCAAGGCCTGAGCTGGTAAATACTAGGGCAGAGTTTACTAATCCTGGGACCGGAATAATGAATTAGATGGTCCCTGTGTCCAGGCAGCACACAATCTAGCCACATTAACAGGGATATGATACGATACACAGTATCAGAGATCTAGGTAAATTGGGTAGGAATACAGATGAGGAAGCAATTCTGACCAGGTCATGTATCAGGAAAGCTCCACTAAGGGGATAATTTTGCAACAGGCTGTGAAGGGTTAATAAGAGGTGGGGTTTTTTTCTGATAGATTCTTTAAAAAAAATTTATTCTCAACAGTTATAAAGCTGTTTACCACTAAGGGGAAATATAAAGCTCATTCGCATGCCAGTTACCTCTTGCACTGCCTCCAGGAATAAAATGCTGCTCCATCCTAATAGACGCTGCTAGGCTGACAGGGAGGGAGAGCTGCTGCTGGTGTGGGAGCTGTCAGCCTCTGCGGGCCTCCTTAGCGTGGGCCCTGATAATGTATCACATTCTACTGTCATATTTTTATCGGTCTGATTAAATGTGTACATGGCATCAGTGAAACGTTTTCCATCCAAGAGGTGGCTCAGTAGCATAAGAAAATTTTTTGTTTTAGTCGTTTTAATTCTGATCAACACAGTGGCCTAAAGAACTAGTTAAATATGCAAAAGGCTTGGTTACTAGAAGCTAATGTAATTTTACTAAGAAATACCAATTAAACTACCCTATTCTTTAGGAAAACATTCTCTCATGCTTGCTGAGTTTTGATTCTCTTTTTTTTTCTTTTTTTTCCTTTTTTTATTTTAGTGTCTCAGATTCATTCTTAAGGAACTGAGAACTTAATCTTCCAAAATGTCAAGTAAGTTTCATTTTTTTTATATTTATCCATCTATATAAATAAGAGACTAATGCCCTAGCAAATGGGAATTCCAAAATACTCTCATTTTTTTTTCCTTCAAACAGGACCATTGGTAGTTTTGTTGCATAGTATTATATCTCAGTTGTTTACAAGAAGTTATTTATTTTCTTTCAAACAGAAAGACCATCTTATGCCCCACCTCCCACCCCAGCTCCTGCAACAGTAAGTTTTAATTTTCTTGTTAATGTAATAGCCAAGTCTGGCCTTGATACAAAAACCCAGATGTCTTCCAGGAAGGGTCACTCAATCATCACAGCAATAGGATGAAAAATTCAGCTAAAAAAAAAACCAGCACTTCCTACTAAATAAAATAACTCTTTGCATCTTACTTTGAACCAACCCCAACATTTAAAGAAACATACTGCTGAAAAGCCAACCTCCTATGCTCGGTTCTTTTTTCCTTTTTTTTTTTTTTTAAATGGGAAATAACTGACCAGTTTAACACTTCTTTCTTGTTACTCTCTTATTAAAAGTCTTTAAAGTTGATATTGAGTGAATGCTCTCATTCTGGCATTTCTTATTTTCAAACCTAACCTTAAATTGGTTACATTTTTTTCTCTCGTCTATATATAATTTTCATATTAAATCAAACAATAAAGCTTCCAGTTCTATAATAACACTCATTGTAAATCATTATTTTCAAGCTGTTCAAGTAAGGATTTTATTACCTGTGGGTCAGATCCTGCTATTGAATTTTATTCCACTCCATATATCATTGGTTTGGAATTTGATGTGTTTCAAAGTGTCTAAATAATAGTTGAGAACTGGTTTTTTCACCCAGCAAGTTCTGATCCAGCTTGGTCAGCATGTCAAATAATTGTCCAATCCATATAACAAATTTAACAGTAACTCTTCAGACCTTGCTGAAATAGATTCCTGGTTGTTTTTTATTTAAAAAAAAACAAAAACACTATTAACCTTGACCATATCCTACAAAAGCAATTCTTTAAATTCTTTAGCCCTCCTTTTAAACCCCCTCCCCCCTAAATTTCAAGCTAGTTTACTAATTAGGTCCTCTTTGTATAATTTTGTTTTCTTCACTAGATAACTATTCTTAATTACTAATCCCTTAGATAAATGTTTTAGTTATGTTTTTCAGCAATTTGCTTTTCTTCAGTAAGATGTTTTTAAAAAGAGATGCTATACCACATGTAATCAGTTCAATTTTTATAACATAGAGTCTCAAGTTACTTCCAGTAGATCTTAAAGTCCTGTGTTTGCTTTGTTTTCTTTCTTAAATCAAAGAACATATCTTACGACCATCTCCTTGGCACTCTGCTAGTGGCTATACAGGTGGAGTTGGACAATTGAGATTCCTGGCCTCAAAGAACTAACCATGTACTTCATTTTTGGAATTGGTATAATTGTCATGTTTTAGGTTCAGTTTTTTTTTTTTTATCTCCCCTACTTAATTTTCTTACATTACTGCCTCAATTTTGAAGTGTCTCATTTTTTATGCAACTTTTGAAGGTGTCATTTTTATATAAATACTGCCTCTGACAGTGTATAGTAAATGGAACACACACTTGATTTTTTGAGATAATAAAAATAGTCCAAAACCAAGTGTTCATTTATGACTTCTCAAATATAGAAAGGGATTTTTTATTTTTGCCTTTCTTTAGTCATATTTCTCTACCATTATAGCTTCACATTGACACATAAATACAGAAGACTAGGGATTAGGACATCCAACAGAGAGGATATTAAATGAGTTATCCTCCTTCCTTTTTTTTCCCATTATTTCAACCACCACCATCACAATCATCATCACCACCGCCACCACCCAGATGTACCACTCTAAGTAATATACACTTCTTTTGTGCCTTTGATACTTCATCTGTTTTGCCTACTTTAATAAGCTTAATTTGCGTCATCTATAACTACATAGATTAGAAATTGATCAGTTCTCTTCTAAAGAGTATCAAATGCTTGAATATCTTTCAGAGACTAAGGATATGTGCAGCGGCATGTTTTAGAAAATTGTGTTTATTTTATAACAGTTACAGTTTAGTTGGAATGTGTTAAGTGTATTTTACATCATACAATTCAAGACTGTTAATTGCATGTTAAAATGAAATTACTGTCACTTGTTTTTATTGAATTTCATTAGGGAAAATATTCTACTTTTGGTCTCTGCTATATTCTTTTTATGTATTATATCTTGATTCTCATTAACATTGGATGTCATTATATTAACCACAAGGGGACTGCTATATAAGCGCCCATTTGTAATCTCATCAACACATAATTCACAAAAGCCAAGAATTCTGTTGCTGCAGCGAGTAATTGTGTTTTTGGAAGGACTAGAGCAATCAGGAAACTATATTTTTAAAAAGAGAGAGTTCAAGTCTGTCAACTAGAAAAATAGTTCACATTAACTAAATGCAGAAATTATCCATGATTGACTTACGGAAGATGGATCAAAGAAGAGATGGAAAAGAAAGCCTATAAAAGAATGGCTGGGTTAAAAAGATCAGACAATACCCCAGAATGAAATCCATGCATTTCTTACAAGTCTTTGTTTTGAAATCATGTATGTGACATCCATTGAATCTCACATATGTTCTTTTCTATTGACAACTTCTGACTTCTGATTTGAGTCTCTTCTCATTTCTCACATATATAAAATGATTTAAAACTGTCTTTGAAAGCAGTCCATTTCTTGTTTTTGTTTTTAGTAGACAAATACATTGGCGGCATCCACATAACTGTCAAATAAATCATGTTTTGTTTTGCATGTAAAGTGTTCTCACACTTGTAGTTTACCACATTTCAAGCTTTCCTCTCAGACATATATTGCTAAGTTGTTATATCATACTATTGACCATAAAGTAATCCTGAATGTTTGAGACACTTCACTGTATTGCTTATCCCCAAAATGCAAGCACACATTCAAATTCACACAAACACCGCTGGCCCCTGCAAAGAGAGAGAAAGAGGAAAAAACACACACTTGCAGACTGGTTTCTCAATGAAAGAAAAAACAACTACAACACATCATTGCTTGTTTAAATCCAGGTTGCTTTTGCATGTCATATGCAGATCATTTTTCATTTCTGTGTTTTCCTCGTTTGAGCTCATTTCTCATTCGTGTTTTTGTCTCATTTGTTTCCATCAGCAAATGCCCAGCACACCAGGGTTTGTGGGATACAATCCATACAGTCATCTCGCCTACAACAACTACAGGCTGGGAGGGAACCCGGGCACCAACAGCCGGGTCACGGTAGGAGAATCAACTATTACAGCATCCGGCAAACAACTGGAATTGACCAGAAATGCCTTCAGAGTTAGGTCCTTGTGAATCATCAGCACAGCCATTAAATTTTTTTAACCTGGCTTTTCGACTATTTTGAACATTTGTTGTATGATCTTACACTGAAAAAATATATATATATAGTGAGATGTGGATATGTATAAGAAAAACTTCATTCTTTTTGGTGGTTGGTAGAGATAAAACCTTGGGCACTTACTGCTTGTACTGTGTGTAGACAAACCTAGAAGTTCTTATGGTTAAGATACTCTAGTTGAGCTGAAGCGTTATTTTTCATTTACGGTAACTGGCATTAGGCTCAAGAACTCAAGTTTCTTAGTAAATGCTGGGCTTCCAGACCTGGCTTTCTTTGGCTGGCCTACTAGTTTGAATTGCTACACATAATTATTTGTCTTTTGGATTTAATAGTTGACCTTCGGAGATTCATCTGTCTTCAGTTAAAAAGAGAAAAAGACTTTTGTGTCACATCAAAGAATTGCAGAATAAAAGTTGAATGAAATTAAGTTGAAGTACCTACAGACTAGATATCTACAACTAGAAGTGTGCTTATAATCCTTAGGATAAGGGATATGATTTCTGAAACTGAAGATGTTTCATTTAACTGATCAATCCAAGAAAAAATAAATATTAAAGTTAAGTAAGTTATAAATCTAAAATAATCAAAATTGGGTGACTTTTTATTTTAGAATCATCTTAAACTCCATTCAAGGAAGTTTAGGTACCAAAGAAAAAAAATAGCTGTAAAAAGGATTTATCAAAAAGAAATAAATAAATTGAATCCAAAAGCCAAATATCTGCATACATTGGATTATGGTATTGGTGAGAATTTATACCACCCAGAATGGCTGTAAACTTCTCTACCTGGTTTTTGTTTGCTCTATTCATAAATAATACAATTCTGTGAATTCAAAAAGCCCTCTCACCCTGTAGTCAAGCTAGAGCAAAAAGCTTGTTACTATCAGACTATCTTGGTAAGCATATTGCTTAGCTTGATAGGTTTTGTTTGTCTAAAATTTTCATTGTTTCTGCATAATTCGTACTTCATAAGCGTATCAAGTTTTATGTGCCTTGCATATTTCATGGTATCCGAAAAGAATTCTGACAGTGTGTGTGTGTGTATGCATTTCACAATGCATACAAATTTTATGTGCATCAATACGTGTTTTTTTCTGGCCTAAATGTGTTGTTTCATCAGTGTAATGGGTGGCAAGGTTATCAAATGATAAAAGAACATTTTAAATTAAACAAGGAACAGAATCAATTTTGGACCATTCATGTTAATGCAGAAAATTACTCATGAGCAAGTAAACAAGAACGATTGCATTTTAATTGCTCTATACAGTCAGCTCTTGATTATCTATGTTAATGGAATAGAAATAGAAATGGTGGTAACTGTAATATTAGAATCATTTATATTTTGGTTTGTGTAAGCATTTTGTTCTTAACTTGAACCTATCTGTGAGGATTCTCTTAATAAAATGAGATCCTTTAATGGAGACTTACTAGGAAAAGGCAAGGGTGCTCTCTGTCTTGGAACCTGGATAAATTACCTATTTCTCCCCATTCCTCCTTGGGTGTCTTGGGACCACAACATTAAAGTGGGCATTAGCTTCAGGGTAGATTTGGATAAAAGGGTTGTTGGGCGTGGAAAATTTGGTGTTTGGATTCTTTGTAGTTGTTTTCTTTGTATTATTGTTCTCTCAATATCAAATTAAATTATAATTAAACTGCTGTTCAGACTCAACCTAACGGCCTAGAAAATATGAAGGCTTTTAGCCTGTGTTCATTCCAGCCCCTTCAACCTTTAGTGACCTCTGTCTTAGGTCATTGAATCATCCTCAAGAAAATTAGTTATACCTAACTTTTACACCACCTTTTTTAAATATCTAATTTAAGCCATGTTAGGGCTCAGTAAATCTGATTTTGTCCATTATTAAAGTGTTTTAAGTTGACCCAACTATGTATTACTTTGGCCGAATTTGGGGGGTGTCTTATTTGGCTTTATTGCCTGCAAATCGCCTTAAGTCAGTGATTCGAAAGAATGATTCTGTGAATCCCTATTGAGTAGTTCCCTGTAGGCTCCTGTACACTTGAATAGTTTTCAGACAATAACTATATAGCATGTTGAAACCTTTTGGAGTGCTCGTGATAGCTATGAGTTGGAAATCACTCCTAGTCAGGTCTTCATTCAGGTGATTAATTTCTCTTAAGTACAGTGTGGAAAACAGGTTGCGATAAAATGTTAAAAACAACTTATTTCTGTACTTCAGTGGAAATTCTATCCCAGGAGAAAACCCTTAAATAAGATTCTGCCAGAGAAACAGCCGAGAATTGGAAAGAAACAACAACAAACTCTTGAGTAGCCAAAATAAATTTCACAAGATCATGGACTTTTTGTGTAGGAGATCCCAGGACCTTACTCTTATGTAAGCACGTTTTAACAAGCATAGTTACTTGTTTTCCCCCAGTGCATTGCCAGTTAGAAGCAGAAAACTGGAAAGAGGGAGAGTTGCTGCTAGAGATGGATTTCATGGTAACAGCAAGGAAAGAAAAGCTTTAAAAAAAGCATAACCACTGGGCATTGAGACATTATAGAACAATGTCTGTCTGAGATGGTGAATGACAGGGTGTTTAATGATGCAAATCTTCAGTATCCTCAAAATCAGCTAGAATTTAACTTCGTTAATGTTTTCAATTTTGTTTCGTTTGCATTTGTAAATTGGTCAATGTAATAAAAATAGGGACTCAGTATGTGAGCGATTTGGGTACCTTTGGGAGAAAGGAAGCTAAATAGGCAAACCCATTAATGTTATAAATGCAGTTCTTTGAAAAATATCCACAAGCAAATATTACTATAATTTATCTTTTAAGTGTTTTAATTCAACATATTTAAGCATAGACATTTTAGAACTCTTTACCTCTTTTTTTAAAAAAATTGTTAACAATGACCTACCAAATTCAATTATTGGCACAATTTCAATTTTATTTGTAACCTACTTCATGAAATTCTGAGGATTTGTGTTAGCTATGAGTTGGAAATGCTTTCTAATAACGTCATGCGTGAATACTCAGACTTCTAATGTCTTGCTCTGATTTTATGATATAAGATTAGCTTTGTAGGAATTCCTCCCTACTCCCTTCCCTCCTTGAAAGAACTCCTACAGACCCTGAGACAGATCTTCCCTTACTCTTCATACCACCACTGTTGACAGTTTCCATCCCCAAGGCTCACCTCCTTCCTTCCATTGTCCACTGTGGCTAAAAGCAAGGTCTGTCTGCATGGGCACCAGCATGAGATGTGGTAAGAATATATATGAAGAGTGAGAAGAGAAGAAATACTGCTTCAAAGGTGAAATGCCTTCTAATAATTTTGTGTATGAAGAAACCGTTACTGAAAAGCGTATAGGGGTGAAGGAGACCCCCATAGTGAAAGGAAGCATTGATTGAAAGCAGTGGAGTAAGGTGCAAACATGCTAATCTCTGAGCCCATGGATGAAAAATAAGGTTGTGATTGAGGTCCTAGCCCAGAATGGAGTTTTCCCTAGGGTTTTGTCACAGCAACAACAGAAAAGCAAGGGAACCAAATGTCACTAGTTTTCTTACAAGGATATGCCAATCTCTGTCTTGATAATTAGAATAAGTCAGCACTTCTTACCCCTTGCCTGGCAAGAATCAATATTGGGGGGTCTTCTAGAAATTGGGGGGAAATAAAAGTAATTCAGCCATGGTTTTATTCTGAGTCCTTGAGCAAATAGAGTCATATATATTAAGATGAGACTTAGTTCAGAAATGGGCATTCTTGGATTGGAGTTATGTGGGGTGCCCACTAGAAGTTATCTGGTATCTCTTGCATAGATATTAGCCCATAAAAAGAACCAATCTTTTATCTTTCTCTTTATTTTTTTAATCAAGTAGAGTTTCTTGATATTCTATAATGGCCCATGTCTGCCATTTCTCTGTTCCCGGTAAACTTGTTTGCCCCTACACTAAGGATAAAAAAGGCATGACTTTATTTCACACTTCTTGATCCCCTTTATAGAAAACCACTAAATATAGAACTTTAAAATGTCTACTTGTAATAAAGGAGATGAAGTTTTTTGTTGCCTGTTTTTGAAAAAGTAGTTTTTGTGGTGGTAGTGTCATTTATGTAGGGGTGCATTCTGAAATAATACAGATAGATAGATAGATAGATAGATAGATAGATAGATAGATAGATAGATAGATAGATAGATACAAAGTGCCCTGTAGACAGTGTGAGTGTGGCTGAGTGCTGAAGGCATTCAGATTCTGGTGCAGATAATCAAGTGTTGACTGTATGTGTAATGGTAAATTAAGCAAAACAAAAGGGTGCCAGGTAAAGTCCTGAATGTGGGACATTTGCTATTTGACCATATATTTTTGATGTATGGATTATTATGTAATAATTTATTTGTTCTTACAGCCAGGTTGTCAAAGCAGTAGCAATAAACTGCTATGTAAAATATTTTAAAATTATGTGCGTAAAGTCATTTTCTTCATTTTCTTTTTTGATGTGAACATTTCTGAATTTGCAGTGATAGCTATTTTCAGTGGAGAAAATATAAGAATCTTGTATCCATGGACGAGTAGAAGAAAGGCGCATTAGAATTTTTTAAGGCACTCTCTTTTCATTTTACTGGTGAACTTCTTGCAGTTGAATAATGAATGTTTTTAACTCTTTTGTAGGCATCCTCTGGTATTACGATTCCAAAACCCCCAAAGCCTCCAGATAAGCCGCTGATGCCCTACATGAGGTACAGCAGAAAGGTGGGTGCTGAGGAGCGAGGAGTGGGCACCGCTGTCTTAGCTTCCCATCAAATTTCAGATTGGCTTAGCCAGCTTTTCTGTGCAGTCAGAGGAAAGGATAAAGAATTGCAGTTGTTAAAAGAAATTAGTTCTGATTTTAAAGTTCCAGGGCTAAAATCCAACAAAAGAACCTGATTAAATACACTGTTGAAATCTTTAAGACCGTGTTATATAGCCAGTGTTATATAGTCTTTTGGAGAATACTTAATGACATTAGAAAAATCTTGAATGAAAAAAGGGATATAAGACTACTGTATGTATTAGTGTCTTATTTTTATAAAAATAATAGCAACTACATGCTAATTTGAAGGAAGAAAAAAGCCAAAAGACATAGTTATCTCTAAATAGTAAGCTATGATCATTTTTATTTTCTTTATACTACCTTGAATTTTCCCTCTTTTTTTGTTTGTGATGAATCTACATTACTCTCAATAGATACAGCCAATAATATCTTTATTAAAGATGAGCATTTAGCTATTTCCATCACTATTTAGAATTTTTTTTTATTTTTGGTCATAATTCTATGTGTATTTGATGGTACATTGTATTGTGCAGATTAACCACTTCTGAATTTTTGCGAACTCTTAGACACAGACTATGTTACTGCATTAGCTTCTCTTAAGTATCTGTAGTGATTGTTGATGTCTGAGATCTGCCTTAAAGCAATCCGTCAGACTGTAGAGGAAATGAGATTGGCCAACTGTTGATAATTGTTACAGCAGGCTAATGAGAACATGTAGACTTGATTCTATTCCCTCTGCTCTTGTTTATGTTTTAAATGTTCATATTAGAAAGTATTTTTAAAGGTCTGTATTCCTAGGCTTCAATACTAACATTTCAACTGTTCCCTTTTTAAGGTCTGGGACCAAGTAAAGGCTTCCAACCCTGACCTAAAGTTGTGGGAGATTGGCAAGATTATTGGTGGCATGTGGCGAGATCTCACTGATGAAGAAAAACAAGAATATTTAAACGAATACGAAGCAGAAAAGGTAGAGTGGGGACTGCAGTGGGATGGATACAGTGGGAAAGGCATGAACACTTGCTTATTATTTAGAAAAGAAGCATAAGATCTAGTTGGACAGCTGGGGCTGCACTGCGGCTTTGTCTGCCTTGATCAAGCCACCTAATTTCTTAGGCTTCAGATTTCGTATCTGTAAAAAGGAGATAATTATGGTGTCTTTGGATATTCCTGTGAGATAATATAGGTGTTCATTATAACCTGTAAAATGTTCATTATAAAACTGAAAAACGTTTGCATTTCAGATAGAGTACAATGAGTCTATGAAGGCCTACCATAACTCCCCCGCGTACCTCGCTTACATCAATGCAAAAAGCCGCGCCGAAGCCGCTCTAGAGGAAGAAAGTCGACAGAGGCAGTCTCGCATGGAGAAAGGGGAGCCTTACATGAGCATCCAGCCTGCGGAAGATCCGGACGGTAAAAAATAATAATAAAAACAAAGTGGGGTTTTGTTTATGCTTTCTCTGAGAATTAAAATAAGACAAATCTTTTCAGTTTTTACTTCCCATCCTAAATGGAAAACAAAGCATAATTTAAGTACCATTTCATTATTTTGATTAACTATTTTTTGTAAGATTTGTATGTGAATTTCCCACAAGAAAAGGAAATATCCTTTTGAGTGCAGAAAATATCATTTATCCAAATCTTTGTACTCAAAATGCCCAAAAGGTTTTTGAGCCATAATCAGAATTTTGCCTCAACTGCTTTTAAAAAGAAAATGCCTTCTGCTTACATCCTGTTTTCTTATTGGTTCCCCAAGTCCTGAATTAAGGACTCCCAAGAGAGAAAATTAATGAGTGGGAAAAAAGCACTATGAAATTTCTTTCCCAGTTAAGTGAGAAATCCAACTAGCCCATGATAACACACATAAGGGTACACAAATTTTATACGCACGCACACACGCGCACACACACAAAGATCAGCTTCCTCATTGCCATTTCATGAATAGTTTGCAGGTCTACAGATTGTGCCCCTGGCCGTGTGCAGCCAGGCAGAGTCTGTAGCTGAAAGGAGCCCAGAGCTAGCCACCTCCAGCAGTGGGCATATTCGTCCACATAGCAGGCATCTTGTACAAATAATATTTTCTCTGTGTGCTGCTGTGATATGGAAAAGGTTGGAATTTCTAACTATAAGCAACAGAAAACATCGGAATAATTTAAGACCCCATTTTAAAGTAGTGGTAACAATGCTTGTAAGAACTTTAAAGAAAATACACCATTGAGAGAGGAAGCAGTAATACCACCTACAGACAATAAACTGATATACTTAAAAGAAAAGCAGAAATGCTATTTTAAAAGAATAGATTGGGATATCGGCAGATATTCTCATATACAGAATAGGATATAAGTATAATGAATAGCATATGGAATAGAAACTATCAGGCGTTAAACAGAATCAGGAGTGCTAAAGCTATACTAGCTTACACGGACCTTAATTGCTCAGAGTGAATGGTTAATGCAAAAAAAGCATGGAGACCTGAAAAAGGTAGGCGAGCCCTGACCGGCTTGGCTCAGTGGATAGAGCGTCGGCCTGCGGACTGAAGGGTCCCAGGTTCAATTCCAGTCAAGGGCATGTACCTTGGTTGCGAGCACATCCCCAGTAGGGGGCGTGCAGGAGGCAGCTGATCGATGTTTCTCTCTCATCGATGTTTCTAAATCTCTATCCCTCTCCCTTCCTCTCTGTAAAAAATCAATAAAATATATTTTTTTTTTAAAAAAAAAAAAGGAGAATATCCAGTCTACAAATAATCAGAAGGATGGGGCTCAGTGTAAGAGGAAATAAAGGCTAGCAATGTAGAAACCATAAATAGAAAATGTTTTCACTAGGTGAAAGATAACAGCATGAATATTGAGACAGACTGAAGGGATCACTCAGGAACAGTCTTTAAGAAAGGTTCCTTTTCTCTGCTTCTCAAACTTCTGCCCATTATGTTTTTTAAGTTTAAGATAGGGTCTTAAAGCTGCTCGTAAGAAAGGACAGGTACTACCAAGAGAGTGAAACATTGGCAGAATTTTAGTTTTGCTGTCACATGCAGACTTCACATTGATTTCCAGGCTAAAGACACGTGCTTATATCTCCCTTGTGTTTCAGCCAAATCTTTCTCTGACATGTATCATCTCTTAAAGATTTTGTGAGAAAAACCAATACCTTCGCCAATGAACACAGCATGTCCTGTATGGTTTTTATCAAGTGACTGCCCCAGGGTTCCCACGGTGACCTTTAGACCCACTTGTGAGAGCCATGTTCCTTGGTAATTAAGTGTGTACATTGTTACACTCCCCTGTTTATGGTTACTGGTGACCTAATTTTCAGAACATCTCATTCCAGATTATGATGATGGCTTTTCAATGAAGCATACAGCCACCGCCCGTTTCCAGAGGAACCACCGCCTCATCAGTGAAATCCTTAGTGAAAGTGTGGTGCCAGACGTTCGGTCAGTTGTCACAACAGCTAGAATGCAGGTCCTCAAACGACAGGTCCAGTCCTTAATGGTTCATCAGGTAGAGTCACAAAACATTTGTTATAATAAAATGGGCTTATGCCACAAGTCCCAGGTGACCTGGTTCTATATAATGCATCAGTGCACCTGTGAAATATGTTTGTGTTCAATCTAACCCAGTGGTTCTCAACCTTCTGGCCCTTTAAATACAGTTCCTCATGTTGTGACCCAACCATAACATTATTTTCGTTGCTACTTCATAACTGTCATGTTGCTACTGTTATGAATCGTCATGTAAATATCTGATATGCAGGATGGTCTTAGGCAACCCCTGTGAAAGGGTCATTCGACCTCCAAAGGGGTCGCGACCCACAGGTTGAGAACCGCTGATCTAACCTGTTCCTAACTCAGGAAGGAGGCTTGAGGGAGTGGACCTTTCCCACAGATTTAATACATTTATCCTTAAAACTGTAACATAGAGTCCTGTAATGGAAAGTTTATCCATGAGAATTTTGAGACATCCTACCAACCTTTTACTGCTTTACTCAATATTCTGAAATTGCTCAGGCCTGAAACAATATTTAACATCACATACTTATTAGTCATAGTGATTCCACTATGCTCCATCTTACTTTTATTTTAAAACCTTAGATTAAAATAAGTTGCTACATTTAGCTTAAAATCATTTATTACAGCTGTGTAATAAATGACTTAAATTAAGAATTCAGGCCCTAGATAGTTTGGCTCAATGGATATAGAGTGTCGGCCTGTGGACTGAAGGATCTCGGATTCGATTCTGGTCAAGGGCACATGCCCAGGTTGCAGGCTTGTGGAGGGCATACAGGAGGCAGCCAATCAATGATTCTCTCTCATCATTGATGTTTCTATCTCATATCTCTCCCTCTCCCTTCCTCTCTGAAATCAATAAAAATATATATTTAAAAAAAAAACAATTCAGGACATTTGTTACATTGTAAGAAAATGTGGACTATTAAAAAAATGAGATGTTTTCTATTTGACATTTGCTTTAAAGAAAGTAATGCAGTAATTATAAAACAAGTATAAAGCGTGATCATATGTCTTACAGCGAAAACTAGAAGCTGAACTTCTTCAAATAGAGGAGCGACACCAGGAAAAGAAGAGGAAATTCCTGGAAAGCACAGATTCATTTAACAATGAACTTAAAAGGGTATCAATTTAATATGTTAACTATACTTTTATCACTGTGTCTTCTCATCACTTTCATTTCTCATTCTTTTTTCCAAAATAGTGTTTTTGTTTAATATTGTTTACTTTGAAACGGGCAACTTCACTATAACCAGTAGATCTTTGCTTTTTGAAATTATTCCCATTTTTTTTGGCAAAATTGTAATAGGCTTGAAATATATAGTATGCATACATATACTAGGCCTATCGACTCTAGAATCCTCTGATGTTTTAATTACTTTCACCCAAGCATGAATTATTTTCATTTTTTTGAAATTTATTTATCAAATGTTGTTATTAGATGTAGTTCACAGTTTGCACTTTGTATTAAAACAGGTAAATCTAGTGTTTGGTAGCCTAAATATAAAATGGAAATTTTATATATAATCCAGCACTTTCAGTATTGCCTCACCAACTATTTTGTAATATTTGATGTTACATGGCTCTGCAACTTTCTTTTCCTGTAGACACAAGAGTCTCAGAGAAGACCTAGAGCCATGTTTTTTTCTCCCATATATATATATAGTTTATAGCCAATAAAACCCATTTTTGAAGTAATTTTTTCTGATTGAGAGATTATAAGAATAAAACATTACTAAGAGATTTTTTTGTGTTGGTTTTTTTCTGACTAGTTGTGTGGTTTAAAAATAGAAGTGGATATGGAAAAAATTGCAGCTGAAATTGCCCAGGCAGAGGAACAGGCTCGCAAAAGGCAGGAGGAAAGGGAGAAGGAGGCAGCAGAGCAAGCTGAACGCAGTCAGAGCAGCATTGTTCCTGAGGAAGAACAAGCCGCTAATAAGACCGAAGAAAAGAAAGAAGCAGAGAACATTCCAATGGAGACAGGTAAGCCCCCAGGGGACTCCAGTGTCAATGTTGGGTTTTAGAGCTCTTTAATCTTTATTTCTCTTTCTCAGTACTTTCCAGAGGTCACTGTGTCCCTGCTACCTCTTCGGTTATTCTTTATATGACCTACCCATTTCTTTCCAGATCTTCATTTCTAAAAGTAGATTCATGTAACATGTTTGTATCAGTGCAGAACAGCAGTGGTATGTTATCTTTAGTCTTGCTCTTTGAGGTCTTGGTTATTTCCCCAGATTGAGTCAAGTTGTTTTCCACCTTGAGAATATAAAGTGTGATGGTTAAGGAGGCTGGCCCTGCAGGCAGATCAGGGTCTAACACTGCTTCACCACGTGCTAGCACTGTGCCTTTGGATAGTTACTTAATCTCCGTTCCTTCATGTGTAAGTATTCTAGCACCTGCCTCAGTGAGTTCTAACGGATAAATTCAAAAATGTACATAAAATCATTCAGTATTGGGTTTGACATGGTATTGCACTCAGTATTTGAACCTTTGTTTCTAAAATTATTTAAATAAGATGTGGTCATTGCTGTTAAGATAAATGATTATTGGTGCCCTAGGACAGGGACATATCCTGCCTGCCACCTGCTTTTAAACAAAGTTTTGTTGGAACACAGTTACACCCATTTGTTTACATACTGTCTGTAACTACTTTGGGCCACAACATATAGTTGAATGGTTGCAACAAAGACTACCTATAGCCCACATAACCTAAAATATTTCCTACGTAGCCTTTACAGAAAAGTTTGTTGACCCCACCCTGGAAAATTCCTACTTCCAGGTGTACTCAGAATTTCTGACTGAAAGCATTCCTCAAGGCAAAAAAATGCCATGCAAAACTTATATAAATACTGATTAAATTGGTTATTATTTGATATTTTGAGATTACCTTATCTTCTGGTACAGTTTTAGCCTTGACCAATGTACTATGTAAACAGGACTAAACAAAAATATTATGGGAAACACAGCCAAAAGTCTCCTGGACCATTGTAAGAAGTGGGAAGGGTAGTAATCATGCTTAGTATTCAACTGACGGCTTCCGATTTGATATCTGGAAAACATTTGATGGAATGTAAACGTTGTTACCAGATATTTCTACAAAATATAATTCAGCAGATTAACATTTCAGATAGTCAGATTTTAAGTTTCATTATTTGAGCCTTCTTCTGTTTTGTGTGAACATGTTTTTTATCTTAACAAAATTTGAGCATGGGCATATTTTTGTGGTTAATGCAAGAGTTTGAGAGCTAGAGTGTGATATGGTTCTTTGCTCATTTTGCAACTAAATGGAACACTCTGTCCTTTGCCTCTGTTTTGTCTTCTATGAATAGAACATGCCTGTAGGTCTTCACTCAGATTTTTATCCTTCTAGCCTACCGGAAAAAAACTGAAGAAAATCGAGCCTATTGGAGCAAAAACCTCATGCTCTTAATTTCTTACAGAAAACAGCCCAACATGACTATTAATGAGATACCTAAAATACTGACCTTATATCATTTCCACACGCACTTTCTTACTCCTTAAATACAAAGCACTCCATGACAGCATTGTCCAGTAGAAATACATGTAAGTCACTGTGTGACTACATTTTCACTAACATTTTTTCAAAGTAAAGCAAAACAAGTGACATTAATTTTAAACATATATTTAATTAACCCAGTATATCCTAAACAATATCATTTCAACATGTAATTAACTTCTCTTTTCAATTACAGTTGACATTCAATATTATTTTATTTTAGCTTCCAGTATATAGACATATAATTTATAAAATGATTCCCCTGAGAAGTCTGGTACCCACCTGACACCATACACAGATATTATTGACTGTATTCTGCATGCTATACTTTACATCCTGTGCACATGTAATCATTTTTTTGAAGTATTGAACTATTTCTTACATTCTTTTTTCATAAAGTCTTTGGAATCTGATGTGTATTTTGTACTTGCAGCACATCTAAATTTGAAGCTAAATTTTTAAATACTAGTACAGGTCAAGAAGTACTTGACCTGTATTTAGATTTCATAAATTTACAGTTAAAAAGTAGATTCTTAAACCCCAAGTTATCTCAAACATGCTGAAAGTTTCTCAGTCACACTAGCTCATTTTAGGTGCTGAATAGCCACATGTTGGACAGGGGAGCCCTCGGCTGTCAGCCTAATTAGAAGAGTACCTTTCTGTCTTAGAACTAACAGTGACGAATGTGTGCTTGCAGAGGAGACACGCCTTGAAGAAACAACAGACAGTCAGCAGAATGGTGACGAAGGCACACCTACTCCTGAGGACAAGGAGAGTGGACAGGAGGGGGTGGACAGTATGGCCGAGGAAGGGACCAGTGACAGTAACACTGGCTCAGAGAGCAACAGCGCCACAGTGGAGGAGCCACCAACAGATCCCATACCAGAAGATGAGAAAAAAGAATAAATGTTGCCTTGTTTTATGTATTCTAAATCCTTTTTTAAATGAAAAAAAAAATGTTTTTGAGTTTTAATGGTGTTATGTGGTTTGTGTACTAATATTTTTCTTGTCCATATCACGCCACCCAAAGCTTTTGGACCATATAACATCATGAGCCAAATGGCATAGTCACCTTTCTTAAGTGGTGGTGATGACGGTTTTCTTCCTTAGATCTTGTTTCTACCCTTCACTGCTGAAAGCCTCGGAATTTAGATTAATTGAGAAAATGCCCATTTTTGGAGAATTTTCCTTTGATGCTGCAGAATCTACTCTTACAAATGCCTTCCTACAGCTCACTGGGGTGCTTACCAAAGCCATAGCTTTAAATCTTCTCAGTCCCCTTCAACAGTTTCCTGAAAGTTCCCTTTCCTGTGTACTTCCACAAAGGTAGCTTCTTGAAAACGTAATCATGTATGAGTATATGTTTGTTCACTTGCCCTTTTCATTTGTAATCAATGTCAGATAACCAAGAGTTGTGTTAAAGTGTTGAGTGTACCTGCAACTATGCTTGGATCGTATTGATCGAGAAATAGTCTCCATAGAGTAGTCACCAGCTTATGAAATAGTCATTAAAGCAAACATGGCACATGTATACTGTCCTGCTTTTTGTTATAATTAATATTGGGTACGCTTTGGTCAATTCATCCTTATTGTACAAAAAAAAAAAAAAAAAATACTTTTTTATCAAGTTTTCCAAAGACAGAGTAGATCACAAAGCTTAAGGAATTGAATATTCTTGCAAGGGGGTATATAACTTCAAAATGATTGGCCCATTCTAGAAGAAAACAGCTAGGAATTAAGTTCAGTCACTTGAAATTGTTTTTACAATAATCAAAACATTCAAAACCTCAAGGCTCAGGATCCCATAGATCAGAGCCTACCTTTTTGATAAACTTAGTTAAGTTTTAGCGAGTAGAAATGAGATGGTTTGTGACACATATGCTTCCTAAAAACTAGGATAGATTTTTACTAAATAGTGGTATATCTGATGGTATATGTTTCTTAAAGGTCCAAATGTAATAAATAAAAGGAAAAAGAAAACAGTCTCAGTGTTTTTAATGCATTAAATGTTTATATGCTAAGCAAGCAATAATTTTGTTACTGGAACACTGACAGTATGGAGTGGCCACTTGGCCATTATAAAATTGCATACTCACAGTCCTATCTCACCCAACTGCCGCACTAGCAAGTTCATTTGTACAAGACACTGAAAATTAGTTTCCCTACATTATAGTCATGTCACATAGGGAGGTTGGGCTTTTACTCCAAAAGTAAATGTTTCTACATTTACATATGAGCAATAAGGAAAAAGTTTATGACAAATTAGTTCTCTCTGTGGAAAATGTGGCTCAATAAATAGATGGAAGCCATCTGCTTACATAGAGATAACTTCTCTATAGAGGCAAGACTTCGTTTATAGTGAATTCACGACCATGTAGAATTCCATTCGACGTTCAGCCTCCTGAGTAAGGAGGAAAGGAAACTAGCTGTTGGGTGGAAACAACCTGTTTTTCTAAATGGTACATGGAATCTTTCTCCTGTTTCTTTTAGAATCCAAGAACTAGTGTATTTGATAATCTCTGATAAATGGGGCTTTGCGGGGCTAAGAACTTAAGCCACCTCATTCCCTGCAGATTGGATGTCCTCTTTGGTTCACTCCCTAATAGACCAGGCAGAGAACTTAAATAATATGGATGGAGCCCAGCTGGCGTGGCTCAGTGGTTGAGCATCGACCTAGGACAGCCGTTCTCAACCTGTGAGTCGCAACCCCTTTGGTGGTCGAACGACCCTTTCACAGGGGTCGCCTAAGACCATCCTGCATATCAGATATTTACAATTCATAACAGTTGGCAACATTACAGTTATGAAGTAGCAACAAAAACAATTTTATGGTTGGGTCAGAACATGAGGAACCATATTTAAAGGGTCAGAAGGTTGAGAACCACTGACCTAGGACAGTGGTCAGCAAACTGCAGCCTCTTGAGTGTGGCTCTTCCACAAAATACCACATGCGGGCCCTAACTGGTTTGGCTCAGTGGATAAAGAGTCGGCCTGCGGACTCAAAGGTCCCAGGTTCGATTCCAGTCAAGGGCATATACCTTGGTTGAGGGCACAGCTCCAGTAGGGAGTGTGCAGAAGGCAGCTGATTGATGTTTCTCTCTCATCGATGTTTCTAACTCTCTATCCCTCTCCCTTCCTCTCTGTAAAAAAATCAATAAAATATATTTTAAAAAAAAAAATACCACATGCGGGCGCGCACGTACAGTGCAATTGAAACTTTGTGGCCACACTCAAGGGGCCAAAGAGCCGCATATGGCTCACGAGCCGCAGTTTGCTGACCACTGACCTAGGAGGTCATGGTTCAATTCCCAGTCAGGGCACATGCCCTGGTTGCCAGCTTGATCCCCAGTAGGAAACATGCAGGAGACAGCCAATCAATGATCCTCTCATCACTGATGTTTCTATTTCTCCCTCTCACTCTCTGAAATCAATAAAAATATCCTATATAATAAGAGGCTAATATGCAAATCAACCGAATGGTGGAATGACTGGTCGCTATGATGCGCACTGACCACCAGGAGACAGATGCTCAACGCAGGAGCTGCCCCCTGGTAATCAGTGCACTCCCACAGGGGGAGTGCCACTCAGCCAGAGCCAGGCTCATGGCTGGCGAGCGCAGCAGCGGTGGTAGGAGCCTCTCCTGCTTCTGCAGCAACACTAAGTATGTCCGACTGACGGCTTAGGCCCGCTCCCCATGGGGAGCCGTCAGTCGGACATCCCCCAAGGGCTCCCAGACTGCAAGAGGGCACAGGCTGGGCTGAGGGACCCGCCCCCCCCCCCAGGTGCACAAATTTTGTGCACTGGACCTCTATATATATATAAAACCCTAATATGCAAATAGACTGAACAGTGGAACAACTGAACAACCAGTCACTATGACGTGCTCTGACCACCAGGGGGCACATGCAGACAATGGCAGGCGTAGGCAGCAGGTGACAGAGCGCGGAACATGGCAGGTGTTGGCTGCGGTGGGATGGTGGAGCAGGTGAGCGGGAGCGCCAGACCAAGATGGGGCGCCAGTTGCTGTCATCGGGGCGAGCCTCTGGTGGTTACTGAAAATTCTTTGCTCCCACGTGCCATGGTCCTGCCTGGCGCTCACACCCACTGCCAGCGCCAGCCCCACGTGCACCCACTGCTGGCTCCCAGCACCGGTCCCGATCACTCGGTGCTGGCAGCAGGTGCGAGCGGCAGCTGCCAGCCCTGATCGCCCCTGAGGGCTTCTCCACCTCCCCCTGCTCCTGAGGGGTGATTAGAGCAGCTGGTGCCGGCCCCACTTGCTCCGCACTATCAGCGTGTGTGAGCAGGCCAGCGCCATCAGCGTGTGGGAGCGGCAGCAGCAGGAGCGGGGCTGCCAGCAGACAGGACTGGGGCTGCAGTGGGAAGGGCCAAGCTGGGGCACGGAGGATGGGCTGAGACCAGGCCCTGTGCCCACTGCAGCCTCGAGGCCCACAGTGCCTTTCAAAGTGCACGAATTCATGCACTGGGCCCCTAGTATTTAAATAATATGGATGGAAAACAGTGCCAGAGCAAGATGTCAGGTTATCTATGGTATTGAAGTCTAAGTGGGTGGAGCTGGCTCCTTTGCTAAGCTGGAGCTGGCACTCAAAACAAGCATATCTGCCTTTAACAATGCTGTGGCAGTGGCTGAAGGACAAATTTAAATCAGATGGGGATTTGGCAGCTCGTAACAGGCGCTGGAGGGTGGTGATTAAAATTCCCTCTTGTCAGAGCGATGTATGTAGACACTACCTGTGTTTTAGTTGTTTCCTAGTTTCTTTGAGAATGTGGGATATAGTCGAGATCTTTAGCTTCTCCCTTCCCCCATAGGCACTGGGCAAGTCACTTAAACTCTGAGCCTGTTTCTACTATAAAATGGATTGAACTACTTTCTGTCTCAGTCCCCTTACTGCTTCAAATAGCCATGATTTTTAGTGCATTTATTTTTAATATGAACACATAACGTTTGAAGGCTTAAATTTATATTAATTTTTTAAAGATATGGCTTTTTAAGAAAGGTTTTATTGATATTTTTAGAGAGAGGAAGGGGGCGGAGAAAGAGAGAAACATTGATCCGTTGCCTCCGGCACACACCCTAACGGGGATCAAACCAAAACCTGGGCATGCACCCTGAGCAGAAATCAAACCCACTGCCTATTGGCCCAACCAACTGAGCCACCCTTGCCAAGGTTATATTAGTTTTTAACAAATAGGAGAGAGGGGAACCCCCCACAGTCCCCCAGTTTTCTTACAGGAGTTTCAATTTCATATTTTTCTCCATCTCAACAAGCATGTCTAAGTGGCTCTCCTGCAACACGTGAAAATGATGTACCCTGTCAAGCAGAGCTTTCGGGAAAGGTTGCTAGGAGCTACCTCATTTTTACAGGATTCTGGGAACGTCCTGTGAAAAAGACACAATGCTTGATTCACCATATTTGAAGAGAGAATCTGAAGTTTAACTGATGTCCTCCAGATGGTTAGTTTTGGCCCTTCACGTTTAGGTACTAGTTTGGGGTTTTAGACCGTTGGTGCTGACAGCGTGAAACTCCTGTTGCCTGCAGTTAAATAAGCTTTGGTTTCTCGTGTGAACAGGCCGTGAAGCTGGGATTATACTTTGTTAAGTCCTCATTTCAGAAACAGCTCCCCTCCACCCCCAAGCACTACCACACACACGGGCTCCCCACCTGGTTTCAGGAGTGGTTTTCACCGCTGGGCAAACCTGGCTGGAACAACAACTGACTTCCCAATGATTTGCACATTAAAGGGCTTAACTTCTTTACAAATGAAAAACCCACTGTGTAATAAGCTAAAATAAACTTGGAGCCTTCTTAGAAGAAATCGTGCTGAATTCTAATTTGGCTTATGGTAATAATGTTTCTTTGATCAGCATGGTAACAAAAACTCAAGAATTCAGTAGAAAACAATGCTAAATGTATTAGCAATGATAAAACTTAATGTCTTTTTTTTTTAATATATTTTTTTATTGATTAAGATATTACATATGTGTCCTTGTCCCCACGTTACCCTCTACCCCCCACCCCCCCCACCCCCGCTCATGCCCTCACCCCCCCGTTGTCCATGTCCATTGATTAGGCCTATATGCTTGCATATAAGTCCTTTGGTTGATCTTTCCCCCTTACCCCCACCCTCCCCTACCTTCCCTCCAAGTCCCGACAGTCCAATCAATGCCTCTCCGTCTCTGGATCAGTCCTTGTTCATCAGCTTATGTTGTTCATTATATTCCACAAATGAGTGAGATCCTGTGGTATTTATCCGCTCTCAAGTTCCATCCATGCTGTGGCAAATGGTAAGAGTTCCTTTTTCTTCTTCCTCTTCTTAAAGAATACCTTTCAGCATTTCATATAATGCTGGTTTGGTGGTGATGAACTCCTTTAGCTTGTTCTTATCCGTGAAGCTCTTTATCTGACCTTCTATTCTGAATGATAGCTTTGCTGGATAAAGTAATCTTGGTTGCAGGTTCTTGCTATTCATCACTTTGAATATTTCTTGCCACTCTCTTCTGGCCTGCATGGTTTCTGTTGAGAAATCAGCTGACAGTCGTATGGGTACTCCCTTGTAGGTAACTGACTGTCTTTCTCTTGCTGCTTTTAAGATTCTCTCTTTATCTTTTGCTCTTGGCATTTTAATTATGATGTGTCTTGGTGTGGTCCTCCTTGGATTCCT